TAAGCTACTGTCCTGCGCTGTCGAGGTTCGAATCCCGCTGAGGGTGTTGATAAGACCAATGCGAGGTCGAAACTGCAGTCAACCGAGGATGAGGACAACTATTGGGAAAGCAAGGCTATGTGAAATTCAATGGAAAAGTCAGCTAAGCTCATATCATTGTGGTAAAATTCTACTACCGGTCCTTCATCACCTTACATGAAATATGGTGAATACATCTCGTTAAATGTTCAGCATAAAATAAATAGTGGAATTATTGCACAGATTGGTCACGACATCAATTGGAGGTCGACAGAAATAAGGGCCCTACATGGAGAAAATATAGAGAAACTAAGCCTTAGGGAGGCCGTCGATCTCCTCACCGGGAAAACTTTAATAAACATGAGCTTTGTGGTTAGTTTGATTACTACTTAAGCAACCAAGAAACGGTAAGACCAGCAGAAAGGAGACTTTGGATCAAGGATCTATCGTTAACGGAAGTGAAGGATGGCGAAGAAGAATCAGGTGGGGAACATTTGGAAATCAATAGAAGACGCCAGAAGTGAGTATAGTCAGCTCGAGAAAACAACTATAACATTTTGCGATCTGGCGCACAAAGAAACGGGCAGGCAGATAGTCACAACCGTCATTGCAGATAGCAGATCCAAGAAAATTATACTGTAGGTCCATCCTAGATATAGTAGGGGCAAGAAACAGGTTCTGGTTTGAATCATCGAAGGCCCCTTAAATTGTTGCTTAGTCATAGGATTAATCCATAACATGCGTCCAATTCGAATAAAAGGCACAGTATTAAGTTGGCCCATAAAGCTGGGGTGATATCTGCAAGCTTTCGGCATCTAAGCCTGTGTCTAACTTGGTGAGGTCACTGTATACGTCCTATTAATGGCTTGTGGTGGACTATAAGGAATAGAAGGTATGAAGACCGAGATGGTGTGGCCTATTGTGTGGTTGCAGTCTCCTTTCGTTGTATAGAGGTTGTTTGACCTTGTGTTAGCAACTTGGTCATGTTGGTAGGAAGACTTAGAGGAACGCACCTAGTCCGGAGTCGTGGACGTGGAACAATCTCAGATGTTTCGCTGGCATTGTCAGTGAGTCTTGTCATTCTTAGCACCACACTATAACTAGTCAAAGCGACAAGTGAAGTAAATCTTTTGACCAATTGTCTGCTAAACAATCGTGGCATCTCTCCTTGGCTAATCACTAATCCTATATTCTCATAACAAGCCTTCATTATCCAAATTTTTTACTTGCTTATTTAAATGTGGGATGGAATACCCCTTTGAGCGGATTTCATGAGAACTATCCACATGGGCTCTCAACGACCAGTCTCCTTGTCATCTTAAACTAAATGGGATTGATGCACTATATATATATATATAAAAATTACTAATATTAGTGAAATGTAAGTTTCAAAGCTATGCGAAATCTTGAATAAGAATTTCGGAACCTACTTAATATGATTATAAGTAACGTAGTATATTTCAATGGAAAATTATTACAAGTTGGTAAGATCAGTTCTCATTCTATCAAATATTCCTGAATAAAAACTTACCCTATGCCACTAAAGCTGATCTAAAGACTGATAAAATATATGAAGAACAAGATGTTGTGGCCTCTATTATGGTCGGAATCTTCTTTCGATTTATAGAAGTGGGTTGAGCCCGTTGTCGCAACTTGGTCTTGTTGTCAGGGCGACTTGGAGAACGCACCTAGTTCGAAGTCGTCTGCCATAGTAGTTGTCATGATTCCCAGCATCAGACAGTGGACTTGGTACATTTTCCAATGTTTGGCCGGCATCATCAGTGAGCTTTGCCATTCTCCGCACCAAGCTACGAACTCGTTAAAGAGACAAATGAAGTCAATCCTTTGACAACCGTTCTGCCGAAAACGGTTAGACTATCACTCCTCTTTCAGTCATTGACTATCTATCTATTCTTTATACTCTTATCCCACTGCCGCCCTATCACAACTTCTCACTTGTTTACACTCCAATAGTCAAAATGTTTGCCATTTTGTGGCAAATCTAGTGTGGCCTCATCACACTTGCTAGTTACCCCAACCCTTAGAAGCACGTACACTGCCGCTTCACTGAGCAGAGCGCCTAAGCTCTGATTCCTATACTTGTAGATATCAGGCTTTCCATTCACGGGTCCTCTCCTTGATTAAACCCATGTTATTTGAGCAAACTGTGGACTCCTATCTCTGGTTCAATGCAGCATCTCAAGTGGATTTATAGTGCATTTTGGCCAGAACCCCTAATTTCTATGACGGCTTGCTTATCTGTCGGCCCAGCACCCTGACTGCCAGGCCCCCAAAGTTTTACTGGTTTATTCAAAATGGCCATCACTCACTGACAGCGTCTTCGCTTAATTGCCGAATACCCCTGCCCCCCACTTTTTTCATCGCAATCCCTTTTCCTCCGGTTAGCGGCAGATCATTGATCCAGTCGTCTCCTTTTTGCTGGTATAA